GAAAGAGAGAGACATATTTTATGGTTTTGGTCAGCAGTCTTTCCATACGTGTTTTGCTTATTTAGTTTTATTGAGGTTGATGGGACAATATGACCTCATAGGTTTTCTTTCATATATAATTTATGAGGACCCTGAAAGGGACCTCCTGGGTCATGGATTCCCAGACAACCATATTGGATAATCTCTCATACACTGGCCATTCTTCACTGTAAGTCTCATTAGTATTTTTTATTTCCATTACTTCTCTTGGAAGACTGTTCTATAACCTCATTCCTCTGATGCTCAGAAACCTTTCTGTAAATTCCACCTTGAATTTATTCATGGCCAATTTATTCCCCCGCGCTTTTGTGCTAACATTATAATTGTTTTTTTAAATTGAAATGGCACTTTTCCCTCCCTAACATAAGTTCTCTCAATGTGTAAAGGGAAAACATATACCCTTTGTGTTTTCTTTTTGTGAAGCCAACTTGGTTGTGTAAGATGGGTTCTTCATTCCCTCATCATCGCAGACACATTTCTTTACACCTATTCCAAGATGAATTCAATTGTTTCAAAGCAGGTGACCAGAATAATTTATAAATATTTCTGATAAAATTTTTATTGATACAATATGATGGCTTTCTTCCTTTCTTGTCTTAACTAGATCTACTTTGTCCTATTACAGCTTAGAATCCTGTTTGCCTCTCTTGATATGTGATGTGGGAGATAGTTCTCATTCGTGCTGGGAACGGTGGAGACACACAGTTGTGTTTTTCTTTCCACTGCAATTTTTAGTTGATCAGCATTCAGAACCACAAGAAATTCATGCAGTTAGCTGCCGTGTACATGACCTTTTACTTCTTCTGTACATTTAATCTCTTTTTAGTGTGTGTAGTCTTGAAGGTTCCCTGGCATTTCCTTCACAGTGTTAAAAGCTCTTTAGGTATTCATAATGCTACTCAGTGTTGTACATTGAGCAAATGTTAACATTCTGTTACCTTTCATTAGCAAGTAATGAACATTTTTAATGGATACTGTTCATGCCAGTCCACTAGTAATCTCCATCTCTTCCAATGACACCCCTTTCTGCACTATTTGCCTTAGTTTCCCTTTTACACAGTTTCTTAACTACCTTAAAATTCTTATGCAGTATTCATTTTCTCTAATTTCAGTTGCTGAAGTGTCACCATATCAAGTCCTCTCATCAATGCTTCTCATTTTTTGTCACCAGAAAATGTGTTATATTTGAGGAAAAAAGATAAGTCTGCAGGCATTACCTGCCTTTAGTTTTTAGGCTGAGAGAGTTGGGATTGTTCAGGCTGGAGAAGAGAAGGCTCCAGGGAGACATTATAGCACCTTCCAGTACCTAAAGGGGACTACAAGTGGGCTGGAGTAGGACTTTTCACAAGGGTGTGTAGTGATAGGACAAGGGGGAATGGTCTTAAACTGAAGGAGGGCAGGTTGAGATTAGATATTAAAAGAAGTTCTTTTCTGTGAGGGTGGTAAGGCACTGGCACAGGTTGCCCAGAGAGATTGTAGACTCTCCATCCCTGGAAGTGTTTGAGGCCAGGCTGGATTTGGCCTTGAGTAACCTGCTGTAGTGGATGGTTCCTTGCCCGTTGGCAGAGGCTTTGGAACTTCAAGGTCCCTTCCAACCCAAACCATCCTATGATTCTGTTTCATTTACTCTGTATCTTTAATTATTCTTCCTTCTTTCACTTTTCCCTCCCTCTTTTCTGCTGAGGCCTACTATCACTTTTTCCCTGTACTTACATGTAAGTGGGTCTTTGGCTATCCTGCAGCAATATGGTCTCTACCCAATAGACCATTTGCCAGGTTTTGCCTCTGGACTTGTGATTTCTGAGGTGTTCTTCCAAAAGGGTCAGCCTATTGAGTTTTACTTCTGTCTGGAATAGGGTGATTTCCATTCTCTTTTCTGCCCCTGTGTTCAACCTCTTCATCTTTATTGAAAATGATTTACTGAGGCAAAAGATTTATTCCATTTTGGGTCTACATATAGATTAATATCTATCCAATCCTTACAGTGTAGCAGCTTCACTTTTTCTTTTTTAATTCCCTTTTTGCCTCCATGGCTAAACAACCTTGTACTGTTTGTTTTAATTTCCTTTCCAAAGTCGAACTCAGCTTGACTTTTTGGCAGTTCTCACATAATCCCAGTATTACTTGACCCCTGAAACAAATCTTGGGGTTTTTCTGGCAGTCTTTTCTTCCCCATTCATTGTAGAATTCTGCTTACACCTAGTATCTGTTGGACTTTTTTTGGGGGGGTGGAGGTAAAGTGGAATATGTGTGCATCTGTGTGAGCAAGGGAGTACACTCATATAGTTTAGTCTGAGGAGCTCTTTCCTTCAAGATTTTTCATCTTGTTTGAAGATCCAAAATCATTTTTTCCATCTTTTTCTTTTGCGTTCCCAGTGTCCTCCTCTCACATCAAGTCCCTTTGCTTTGCCTTAGACTAGAAAGGCATATGGTTTGCAAAGTTTGTCCCTCTAGAACCAAGAACTCCACTTTTGATTATCCTTTCCATTTAATCTAAGCTGTGGCATCCCATGTCTACTGAAACTAGGTTACTTACTACACTGACCTTTTCTGCAATGTCCCTGCTACTTGCTGAAACAAAGTCTGCAATAACCTCATTTCTGGCTGGTTTGGTGACTGTTCTGTTAAGCAGCATGTCAGTTAGCATATACAGGAATAATTGAGCCCTACTGTTATTAATAGCATTTGTTCTCCAATGTATATCCATAGATATAAGTTATTTCCATGTGGCTTGACAGTTGTTCTGGCTGCACAGTTACTTGGCCCTTTGGTTCAGTGAAGAATTATCTTTATGCATTGTAAGAAATATTAAGCAGATGTCGGGAGCCAACTGATATTCATTAGCTATATAAGCATGTTACAACAACTGTATTAAACTGCATGTGATGTACATTCCATATTGTGTACGGATGGCTTTTACACTGTGGGGATAGTTCTGAGAATCTATTTTTAAAAATAGTTTTATTTCAGCAGTTTGGTTACAGAGGAAATGAGGCTTAGGACTGTTCAGCTTTTGGGCAGTGAAATCTTGCTGAGGATCTGATTAATTTCCAGAGCTCTGATCAGGGTGTGTATGGTGCCTCTATGTTTCAGTCTGTGCAACTTCAGAGATTAAAACACTCCTTTATTACACAATCACAGAGGAGCAACGTAGGCTTGTACACTCAAACATCTAATTTCCTTTAGACCATGTTTATTCACTTGCATTGACATTTCTCTACATGAGGGCAAGGTGTATTGACAGACATAATAAATTATTATTGCAAAATAAGAAGGGTCTAACATGTATTTTCTATCTTGGTAAATTAATTGCATGTTTAGAAATTATGTTAAAGCAAACTGAAGGGAGGAGAGATTGAGAAATTTCAGTGATTAGCAGAAAAGTGACAACAGATTCTCTCTTTTGTAGAACAAGAGCAAACTAGGTACGACACTATGATTTAATGATTGAATCAAAATTGCATGTTCTTTGTATTAGTTCTAAGTTGTTGATCATGTGTTGTAATTGCCATACTGTCCAGTTTGTCAGCATAGCGAGTCTGGCCATTGGCAGATGATGAGAGACATTTACAAAGAATATGTAGGCTTTGCTACAACTGAGCAGCAAATGTTTTGCTGAAATGCAAACATTTTTATTGTAAGTTTTAAAAGCTAGTTTATCAGATTCCAAAAAGGGGAGAAAAGTAATTATTCATTAGATTGTCATTTGAGAATGTAATCACAGCACAGTAAACAGCCTCCTAGAGAGCCTGATCCAGATTCCACTGAAATCAAAAGAAAAGGCTGCAGTTGGATCTGGTTCTAAGAGCTGAGAAATCTAAGCTGCAGACCTGGCTTCTGTGCCAAAGAGAGAGAGGGAGGGGGAGAGAGAGATATCACAAGCACCATAAACAAAATGAATAAAACAGGATCTTAAAGTGTATGGTACCATCCAAGTTACTTGCAAAATCACTCTCTTTGGCACAAAAACTAGGAAGGCCACAGTCTAGATTTCACAGGATATTAAGGACAGGGTAGTAATATCAGATATATAATAATAATAAAAATACAGTGTTGTAAAATGCTACATACTTTTTTTTTCCCTTTTGGAAGCATACCAGGAAGTTTTCACCTTTAAACTAAACACATGCTCACAGTTTATGGAAAGAAATATTCATTTTTATGGCCTGATCATGTGAAGTGCCGCGAACCGTTCGCTTGCATTATTTCTGAGGTTAGCAGGCACACAGCACGTGCAGAGTCAAACTTCTAATACCCTGTTGGATTCAGCTGATGAAGAAGGCAGTGGAGCTGCTGTCAGTGTTTCACTGTTGCCAGACTGTAGAAACTAATTACTTCTAAAGGCTATGCACAAACAGATAATAGATTAGATGATGATCATGATCTGCTTGTGTTGGCAGATAGCAGTAACACTGGAGTTGCTGCACAGTTCCATGAGACCATGGGGACTAGAATCTAGGTGCCTTGACTATTAGGCACTAGCTTCCAATAGCTGCTCCGTAAAGGTTCTCTGAATAGACTCTGACACCAAAGTCACAATCATGGCTGATTTCTAGAAGTCATTCTTGAGAAGGCTAGGAAGAAAATGCTTCCCATGACACTGAGTGATCACTTCTGAATGCTGTAGAGACAATATATATTCACATGTAAAGAAGACGATTGCAAAGAGAATTCCTCCACTCTTACTGCAGATTCTTCAGTTGATTGCCAGTCCTGTTTGGCTTTATAACGTAACCATAGCACCAAAAACCTTGAACTTCGCTGTGTGTACATCATAAAAGTGGTTGACAGAGCAACTTCCTCACTCTAACATTTCAGAAAAGGAAATTGTCAGATGTCCCTGTGGAACCAGACGAGGACTATACTAAACTTAACAGCAACAGTCTGAAAACTAAAAAGGTAAGCAAGCCTTGAATTCATGCACATTTTGCTAAAGCATAGGTTAGTATCCAATATTAGCACAGAATGCTTAACTTTCTCTTCCAAAACACATCAGAAAAAAAAGTACAAAATGACAGATAGCTGTAGTTATGTCTCCTTGAACTTCTCATTCAGGTTTAATTTGGCTCGGACAGTTCTAATTTCCCATTCTGAACTCTTCTATAGTGGTACTGCTTGGCTGTATTAGATCAGTGAATGTTCCACTGAACCTCGCTGAATTGGACATGTATCTTAAGGTGCTCAGCTAATGTTTGCAAAGCTCTTTGAGATCTTCAGATGAGAAATCCTACCACTAAGGGCTCAGTGATAGCAACTGTTAAATTTCAGTTACTTGAAAAAGAAATGAAGATGGCAGCATTTACTTAAATTCCAAGGGATGCTGAGACAGGCTGTATTTTTACCTAGATATATTGCTTGTGCACTTACTTATGTCAACTTAATGAAGTTAAATCAACACAGAACTTGCTGATTGCCAGCTCCAGCGCAAGTTTGGAGGCCAATTCAAATCTGAGTCCAGCAGTGCTGCCACTGTACTATTCCTAGGAGACCAACAGAGATGTGAAAAGAAATAGATCTTCTCTATGTGTGCCAAAGTTGTGAGGCTTGTACTGGCTTATTTCTCTGAACATTCAAAGAAAATGAATCTTCCTCCAATCCATTGGGAACCAAAAAGGCTTACTGTACTGGTCTTGTGACCTTCAGACTAATGCTGGTTGCTCATTATCCCTATGCAAAGAGAAGCAGCTGGTGACAGATGCATTCCTTCCTCCCCCAAAACCCCTAGGGTCTTTGGACTCAGGGCGCATTCTAGTTCTGAAGTAGAATTGCCCCCTAAGTGAGGGTGATAGCTTAAAATACACACGTTTTTCCCCCTGCCCCCATTATGTACCTATAGCTTTTGAACTCAGCATAAAAACAGAAACAAACTGAGGAGAGATAATTCATTTTAACATTAAATATGATTTACTTCTGAAATAATGAAGCACATTGATGGGAGAATCTGGGAAAGAAAAGATAGCTCCTGGACTCTGTACAGTATACTACTCTTTTTTTAATACTTTGGCAGTAGTTTTGTTTGTGGAGTAACACAGATGATCATACTTTTGTTGTGTATCTCCACCTATCCATAACCGTCTAGCTGATCCAAAGTATTGTAATTGTGAAGTCCTGCAGACTGAGCAGTATCATAAAGAAAGGTCAATGCAAAGTTTTCTTAATAGGGAAAGCAGCTAGAGATTTAAACCATAATGTTTTAAGATATAAGAAAGAAAATAGGTCAGCTCTACAAAGCGTGGCTCATAAAATGTGTTTTAGGTGTAAAAGTCTGGGAAGTTGTCCCAGTGGCTTCAAAGTGCTTTGCAAATGTTAGTTACATTCTTCATTCCTAGTTCTTCCATCTCTTTTCCCTTTATTTTGCTGTGCATACAGTCTTTGATAGTAAATCAGTGTGAATTATTCATCATCTGTAATGCAAGGCTGTAATTCAGCCTGCTGACAGCATAATCATGAGATTGAGTTGGAGGGTGCAGTATGCATCTGTTATATTGCATGCATTATTCCTCTTAATGTACACTCAGGGATTATCCCAAAGTAAACGTTTGATTTGGGATACCTAATTCTGCAGAAAGGAAGGAAATTTCACCTTCTTGTGCTTGTAATTGATTTTCTGTCTTTGAGGTTAAGTAATTCATGACAAGGATTTTTCAGTTTGAATAATAACAAATTTGGTTTTTAAGGTTTTTCCTGCAATTCAAAGCCTGTGTAACATTATCTTTACTGCTGTACACTAAAAAAGCAATTCAACTTCTTGCTTGACTTTTGTATTTAAGAGTTTGTACAATATACTCCCCCCACCCTATGGAAATGCTGTTTAACTGTTTCTGTTTATCATTTCACTAACAGGCAAACAGCAAGATGTCTGCAGCACAGAAGGCTCTGGCCAAAGTTGATAAGAGTGGAATGAAATCCATTTCTGCTTTCTTCAGCTCCAAATCTAAAGCATCAAAATAAAGACTTGTTCTTGAAAACGTTTTATACAGTGGCTATTTTTATGTTAAGCTAAGGATGTCTCCTGGGGTTTTTTGTTAGTATAGTATATGTAGGGCATGTCTGGAGTGCGATGAAGAGGCCTGTGAGCTAGCGTGGCACAGAGTTGTTGTGCCTTAGTGCAGATATTCCATCCTGGGTCAGGAAGATGGCCTAGCTGCATTAATGTGGTGCTGTGAGCTGAGAAGCAAGGCTAGGCACAGTACCATACTGTAGTGCTGCTGCTTCTAGAGCAAGACCAGTCAAGGCCCCCACAGAGTTTTCTCCATTAGGCTCTGTTCTGGCCTGAAAATGAGTTTTTCATTTATAAGGAACATTATTTTTTAAGACTTGCTGAAGTTTTTTACGCAGAATAGGATGGCATCGTTACATTTTTATTTTGACCCAAATCTAAGTGCTGATATAAGCATTGTCATTAGTGGCAATTTATTGAGGCAAAGCTATTGTCTGTATTGGGATTTGGGTTGTTTTCAATATACCAGAAACAAACTGCAATAAATGTCAATGTACATGTAATGCAATAAAGTGCTTTGTGTAACAAACTTGTGCTTGTTGTATTTGCTTTATGTTTCAAGAGTCAGGTTAGGTTTCAAGACATTTCTTCAGGGGTTTTGATATTTTCCTGTGTATAAATTTTAATCCTTAAGGAGTTGCAGCATCACTTTGGCTTACATGATAAATCTCTTAGCACATAACAATATAGGGATATTTTTATGTTTAGTTCCAAGGTCAAGAGGTCCTAACAAAATTAAGGAAAGATTGTCATTCTTTGCTACGTCAGCTCAGTAGAGAATCTGCCTGTATCCCTTGATAATGTGAGTTTCAGAGAAACTAGGAGTTCCTCCTTTTTGAGTATCTACACCATTTTTTCACCTCAGACTTACTCGCTGCCATTTACAACCCTTGGATTACAGTGGTGTCTGTGATGTTAAAGAGCTCTGTGGCATCCTCTTCCAACCAGCAGTGAATGAGAAGCCTTTGCTGTGTGTTCTGTGCGTTTTTGCAGTTGTTGGTGGGGATTTTTTCAAAGTTTCAGATGTCATTTGTAAATGGGGAAGTCAATATGGTTGGAATTCCAGGTGAAGGAAGATATTTGTAAATCTATGGAATTATTGTCTCTGATAATAACTCACATTTGGTGTGCCCAGAATGAGTAATTGCAGTCATGAACTGGGAGGGTTAAATTTTCTACAATACTCAGCCTAGCCCAAGAGTTTATTCCAGTCAAAGAAATGCCCCAACTTCATGTGAGCAGGAGAAGGAATGCACCAGTGATTGCAGCTCTTGAAAAACACCACTGAAAAATGTAGGATAATGCTACAGGGGAAAAAAGGAAAAGGAATAGACACATACTGTAATTGAGAAGTTTCATGCAGTAAGCAACATGTTGGGGAGTGTTTTGGTAGAAGAAAGGAGCTGTGTATCTAATAAACTGAAAAGTCAGTTCTGAGCACTAGAAGATGCTGAGAAAGGCAAGCATGGGATGGGTGTTTGACTGGAAAAAAAAGAATGGGAGAGAGTTACATTAGAAACAGGAACTATGAGGTAGAACAGACACATGGTAGAAGCTGTTCTGGATATTTAAATCTGCTAGTTTTAGGGGATTGGCTTTTAATAGTTCAAAAGTTTTGTGAAATAAATTTTGGAAATGCGTTTTTTCATTGACTAAACTATTCAAGAACCTTCTGAGAAAAAGTCCTGGTTTCTCTGGTCAAATATTGGTACAGAAGGAGGAAAAATGCGGTAGAGATGAGAGGCCTTTGTGCTGACTTCTGATCTGGGGTACCAGTTTTTATTTTTTCTTACTCTGTACATGACTTTAACATCTGCCACTGCACCAAGGACTAAGTCTAGAGTTCTTCCTCTATGCATAGATGCATAGTGCTTTAGTGTGTCACATCTCAACTTCAGCTGTGTCAGCTATGCCATAAGTTACAACAATAGTAATTTTATTAGTGACTGTGCTTTTGGTTGAACAGGAATTTGTGCATGACAAAGAAAAAGCCATTTCCAAAAGCCATTAGAGCTTTCACGTGAAAACAAAAACTCTTTTCCCTTTAGGAAAGCATGAAATACATTTAGTAACTTTGAAACTTCCTCAACATGTAGCTGTAAGAAGTTACAAAGAGCATGTGTTGCCAAGTACATAAAACAATATTTCCTACCACAACAACAGTTTAAATATAGTTGCTCTGCCTGGCCAGCAGTAGCAGTAGGTCATTATGAAGTGCTGCTTTGCTGTTTCTTCCTTCGTTAGCATAGTATGAAACAATATGCCAGCACCATTATACAAATGTGGTCTTACTTTATTTCTTTTTCTGGGTTAACATGACATCTCTGCATGTTCATGTAAATATCTGATGAGTTGTGATGCTTTTATAGTTGGTTTTCTGTGATTAAGCAGCTGTTATATTCTCAGTTTTTTGGACTTCACGTAGCAAATGTATCGAAGGGCTGGAAGACCTGCCCTATGAAAAAAAGACTGAAGGAGTTAGGTCTTTTCTCCCTGGTGAAGAGAAGGCTCAAAGTGGGCACGGAAAATGTTATATGGAAACACAAGCACTGCCTTAGGGATATATAAGGGTCGAACTGGCATGTCATTTTCAGTCTTAAGTAACAAACTTTGTCCTATTTGTAGAAGTGACAGTTGGTGATTTGAATGGTTTTGGTGGAAAAAGTGGCATTGTTGGAAGAATTGCATTCAGATCTGAAATCTAGAAGAGTTCAGTGATGCTTGTTTTCAGATGTTCACTTGCATCTGATGATGTTTTTTAGAGGGAAACTAAATACATGGATGCTTATTTGAATAGATTAATGTTTATGACTAGGGTTTTCTCTTTCCTTTGTAGATTCCTGTGAAAAGACATGCAAAGAAGAAATGAAAGGAGCATAAGGAGACTCGCTAATACTGTTTTAACTTGCCATAATCTCAAAGCAGCTTTTAAAGGCTTTTTTTACGCACTTTCTGAAAATAAATGCTTGAAGTTAGACATTCTCTGTTCCAAGAAAAAGCAAATCTCAGCAGATTAACATTGTTAAATACGCGGTGTGTTAAACATACACTGCTTCAAATTTTATAGCTTATACACTATTGGTCTATCGGGCCCTTCCAGGAAAGCACTTACGAGCATGCCTAATGTTAAGCACATGAGCAGTGATCCTAAAGTCACTAGTGTTGTTCGTGTGGATAAGTGCTTTGCTGGATCAGCGCCTAAAGTCCTGTTAGGTGCTGAGCATCCTGATCCATATCCAGCAAAGCACTTACGTCCATGCTTATCTTAAAGTGGAAGAGCCAGTCTAATATTTGTGCATTAGTGTTCACCATAAAATCTCTCTTGGCACAATGACTCATCTGCTTAAAATTAAGCACCTGCCTAAGTATATTGCAAGGTCAGACCAACTGCATCCTTGAGCAAGCCTTAAATACTTGATTTTGTTATTAATTTTTTATTTTTACTCATTTTTAATAGATTATATGATTTTGGTGACCACAATTGCAAGTTTTAGAAGCTGTATAGTAAAATATGTTATATGCAATTTTCTTCTTTCTTTTTCAAAATCTATCCAGGTTCAGCAAAGTGGCCTTTTTGGACTAGAAGTCCAATGTTCAATGAAAATGAGTTAACTCTATTTTTTTAGGATAATTATATTTTTTTAACATTGAGTTTGATTTACATGATTTTGTCCAACCCAGACCTATTATCCAGAAGGTGTCACCTATCCCAGGTTGTGAGAACAGTCTGACTCTTAAGCGCTAAAGCTTGAGGCAGATTGTGTGTTCAGAAGGGCAGACAGAGAAGGTCTGGTTCGTATGTTACTGTTTTTATTCTAAGGGATTGAAACCTTATAAACGTGTATAAAATAACATGTACATTTTGTATTGGGCACTAAACCAAAACCTATGTAATTCTTCAGGTGAAAAAAAAAAGACTTAGCTATCTGTTTGTAGCTCATGTAAGAGACTTCCTGTGAAGTGAGATTCAACCGAAATGTCAACCTGAGTCTGAATAAAACATGCACAAAAGAGATGCTAATAAGGTCCTTAAGTGATCTGTGTCAGATGCAGTCTGATGTTTTTAACCTAAATACCTCTTTATCAAACTGCTATTAATATCTAACTCTTTGCTAGAAAATATTTTTAAATTAAAATCGACAGAATTTTGAACATAATGAGTTTGTACTTCTATAAATTCTAACTGTGACCCCAGTTCACAGACACCTACAGCAAATGACCAAAATGTTCTGTAAAGCTTGAATATATTTGAAGCATTTTAGATAGGAAGTAAACAGATACTTTATACCCCCTCTGGCAAATTCTGACTAACTTCAAGTAAAGAAGAGCTCCAAGGAGAATTTATTATGACATTGCTGAAAACTAAACTCCAAGTCAAGGAGGCAGTAGCTTATTCAACTTTCTTTTCAGCTAATTCTGGTTGTCTGTTTCAGAATATGAAAATCCTGAGCTGTTAACCATTTAGAAATCGCATAGGAAAGGAAATGTAATCTGAATGCATATTTGCACTGAATGACTTTGTTACTTTTATGCTTGTCTGGTTAAACAGTGTGCACTTTGCCTTTTCAATTTAAAAAATATTTATTTTGACATTGTTTTCTAAGCAGTTCTGCAAGAATATTATGTGGGTCCCAGATGAAATTTCTATTTTTCTATGTTACATTAAGAAAACGCCTGTTATGTGAATGATATATTTCAGTAAAATGTGATTCCATTTTTCTGGTAAGATTTTATTTTTAATTCATGCACAAGAAAAATAAATGCCTTTGGAATAATTTGTTGATTATTACTTCATTAATATCACAGAGAAATGCAAAGAAAAATGTAATGCAGTCAGGCTACGAATACTGTTAGTCTCCACAAGGTAGTCAGTAATTCTTAGACTGAGTTGAAGGAAATAACGAATCCTGAGATAGATACTGATCTAAAAGTTCATTAAGACAGATACAATGAAGCAATTAGACTGTTCCTTAAGAACATTACTGTACAGATGATCTAGAGAAAATCCATTTCTGTGTACATATAGTTGTTAGCCTAAGTACTCTGGATATTTTTCTGAATGTGGCAGTGAATCTCTGAGTGATGGTGGGATGAGGAGAGTGGAGATGAAGAATATGATGTGATATTAATCTGTTTTTTTACATATTTCACATTCTTCACCATCGCATATGTAGTATATAGGTGCTCCATCACACACAAGAACTGATAAACAATTA